GGTCTGGCACACATGGCACACATGGCATGGCCCCAGTCTATTCTGAGTTGTCTTGCTAAAGTGTCTTGTAAAACACATGTTTCTGGGGAGCACAAGGCGTTTATGAAGATGAACACATTAGCATTCTTCTAGGTGCAGGTATATTAAAAACAACAAGTACCACAGTGTGCTCAAACCTGAAGCTTTCAATGCAGACATAAATACATTTCTATTCTGCTGGGTATCACTGTCAACCTACCTCACTGCCCAAGCAAATGGCATCCGGTACTTTCCCAGCTTGCTGCAAAACTGCCTGTTGGATTTTAGTATCTTTTGTGCATACTAAGGAAAAATAAATAAATAAAAATGTTGTTTAGAACATCACCGTCCAGGTAATACTACTAAATACTTTTCCATGTTACCTTACATTGAAACTCAGCGCTATTCTGCTTTAGCGGCTCACGGTTCTACCTTGTAAAGAGCCAAGTGATACCCTCTGTGTTCAAATGACTGTGTAGTTTTTTTCTTTCTTTTTAGTTTGGAAATTTCAAATGTAGAAAACACCCTTCTCTTTTTCTCCAACTTTTTTTCCTTTTTCTGTGACTTAAAAGACTTTAAATTATTGAATGGAAAGTGCTAATCAATTTCACATTCATCGTTTGTCCTGTACTTCCTTTTATTTGTTACAGACAGAGGTTGGCAAACTTGTTCCCTAAAGAGTCATGCAGTAAATATACAGGGCTTTTTTTACAGGCCACGTGGTCTCTGTCCCAGATTCTCAACTCTGCCCCTGTAGCAGGAAGCCACGATCTTAAATGAATGAGTGTGGCTGTGTTTCAATAAAGTTTTATTTACAAAAAGAGGTGGCAGGCTGGATTTGGCCTGCACACCACAGTTGGCCAAACCCTGAATTAAAGGAGTCATAAATATGTTAAAACACTGCCCTAAACTGTCACACAATCTCAAATTCAATTGTTATCTATTATTTTCCCAACTTATTTCTTTGTGTGGATAATATAGATTTTTTAGTATTTATTTTCTATTAAATAATAACATTCAAGTATTATAGAAAATATAGTAATCAAAAAAAGAAAGCAGAAAAAATTTCCCTGTAGTCCCACTATTTAAAGAGCTTATGGTATCTCCTTTCCTCTTTCTTTCTTCACTTAGCTGTTATTATAATTTGGTAAACAATTAATTATTTTACTTTTTCATTTAGTTCAACATAAGCATTGCTGATGTCTTAGTAAACTGTATTTCCATGTTTTCAGTAAGATTAATCCTGATTTTTCATTATTGTTAATACTTTGGTCCTTGGGCAGGGGTTAAAGCTTTATCCACTTTTAAAATTAATTTCTACCAATAGATTCTCAGCAGAGTTGCTGAGTCAAAAGACATAAGACAAGAATATATACTTAAAAAAAACCTCCTGTTGGATACTCATTTCACTAATAACTGAATATTTCAAAACTTATTTATCAAACTTGATAATTCATCAAGGCAGTGTGATTTTATTTCTTGAAAGCAATTGAAATTATTTATAAATATGTAATATAAATACAGTATATATCACAATGTATAATATATCAATACAATATATAGTATAAATATAATATTAAATATACATTATTTATCAAAAGATGACACATTACCTTGTTGGAGTCTGGATTTTTAATATAAGGTTCAGCACCACTTGGAATGTTTCCCATCAGTACTTTCTCGATTTTGGCCACCAAAACAATGTCAGAATGTGGATTGCTTACAGAAAATATAGCCTATGTACAAAGAAAACAGCTAATAAGCATCTAGGAAACCACAGTGAAGACACTTACAAAATTCTACTTTTTTTAGAGTACAGCTTTAAGGGAATTTTTATTTGAAAAATTGCTCATTTAGGTAATCTATTGCTAAGAATGGAACCAGCATCCACCCCCACACTGCCACCCGCCATGATGAGTAAACAAAAGTGCCACCTGCTTTGGAAATTTTAGCCATTCCTCTGGAAATCCCTTGATGGGAGGTTCTTCTGATTGTCTGGGAGTGACAGTGTCGATGTTTCCATTTTCCAAAGCCACGGAAGCCCCTGGGAGCATCTGCCTGACAGCAGGGTGGTTTAGATCCACGTGGAAATCAGCAGAGATCTTCCTATTGTCTCTGAGGTCATAAAGTGCCACACTCACAAAAAATGGTTCAATCTGTGGGAAAAAGAAACAATTGATGGTGTGGCATAAAATCATTACACAAGCAATAGCCTCTCGGTACACTATTTAGTAAGGCAGTAGATAAAATACTTCTATTTATACGTAGTATAATATTTCTATTTATAATATGTGATAATATATTATGTGTAATAAATATATTATAAAACTATATATAATTATAGTACATATATATAAAATATACTCAGTATGTATATTATATATGATATTAAAAAGTAGTATTTGTAAGAATGTTCCCAGAATCCTTTCTACCAGTGGTTGCCTCAGATCCCAGCACTGTATTTTGTTGGTTTCTTCATTTGACTTTTCCTGCCAAATATTCTCTTTCATATGTTGTATTATATGCAAATTCAACCTTAAAAAATTCTAGTTATTTCCCTTACACGCTCAGTGAACGTCTGCAATGTGAGTATCCTGATGATTCCTCATTGTCAGACTCACGTCATTCTATTTTGGGGCAGTAATACTTCAGTTTGATGTTTGATTTTCATAGTTCATCATATTGAAAACACAAAAAGTCAACGGTCTCACCACCGGTAATGTTAACCCAAACATTCTGGTCATGTTGGCGTCTTCCAGTTTTCTCCATTATGATGTCTCCATTTTCCCTTTGGTATGTGATTAGCCTTTTTGGAGATATATTCTGAGATTACCCCAATGTCCTGCTACTCGTCAAACCCAATCCACCCAACTCATAACTCCCACTGGAATCAACCCCCACTATGAGGACTACCAACGGTGGTTTTCTAGTTCCACTAATCTTTCTATATGTGTTAGTTGGTATTCTGCTGTAATGATGGGCTTTCCCTTATCCTTCATTTTTTGTTTTTTTAGGGAAGAGGTAACTAGATTTATTTATTTATTTATTTTTTAAGTGGAGGTACTGGGGATTGAATCCAGGACCCTGTGCATGCGAGGCAGGCACTCTAACACTGAGCTATCTCCTCCCCCTGTTATCCTTCAATTTTAATGTATATAAATACACATATATATGTACATACATATATGCATCTATTAATATATATTAATATATATTAATATATACATATATTAATATATACACATATATACATATATAGGGATTAAAAATGAGAGATACAAGTGTATGTGTATATATATATATATACACACACACATATATATATATGTATAGACTCATGAATTGCTATTTTATCAGTAAATTTCCATCTCTTTCTATCATTATTTACAGCGATACTCAAACTGCCCCAGATTTGTCTAGAGGTAAACCCTTCACAGTGGCACCTGTGCCTTTACAGCAGCTCCCCATCATTTCTTGAGCACCCCTTTATCCAAGATGTTCCAGGCTTATCTTGTACTTTCCATGCCCCAGCCATTCCTCCAAGAGCCCTGTTCCTGTTAGTGAGGGTGACATTTAAGAACCAAGATTGGAGTGCTTGTTATACTCATTGTTTCTGGGACACACGCACACGTACATACACATACGTACAATATTCGCAGCTACAATGAGTTCTTTATATCTACCTGTACGTGAATATTTATTAAAAACTTATGGGTTCATGTCGATACTTCCATTTCCAATCCAAATCCTCAAAGGTTCCCTCTAGCTTGTCCCTTTTGCATATTTTAAGTATTTCTTCCAAGAGTCAAAAACTTGGCTCTCATTATCATTAATCTATTTCCTCATTTGTTTAATCAATTTACTTGCTGTTTCAAAGTAATCCATCTTCCAACCACAGTCTCCATCTTCTCTAGTTGCCTGCTCTGTCCCACCCTGTGCAGTGCCCCATATCTCGACAAGTCCAAGGGCATGGCACCTCTGAGCCTCCATGTGGCTTTCTCCCCACCACCATCTGGAGTTCTTGTGCTCCAAGCCTCTATGTGACTGCCCCCTTCACTTCTTGTCACCACGCCAGGAAGGAAGAAGATGTGAGATAAAGGGAAAACAGGAAGGGAAAGGAAAATTGAAAGGAAAGGAAAGATTTCTTGGTTAAGTTTTTAAAGAAGTAGGAATTAGGTAAAGAGGAGGTCAGAAGGGGCTTCTAGCAGGTTGAGTGACAGGGGCAAAGACACGGAGACATGAAAGAATGCAGGACTAGAGCATCAGAGCGAGATGAGAGTGGAATTAAAAATTAAGATGTGTTTGTAGAAGATGCATTTGAGAGACACTAGGAGGTACTTGGAAACCCACTGCACACGTGCACGTGTTGGTTGGTTAGAGAGAGAGGTTTATAGGAGCGTGAATAAGAGAAAATTTCCAGGCTTAGGGCTCTAGAAAACTAAGTGGACGACAATGTCATTCACCAACACAATAAAGATACAAAGATGGATTCTTTGGTACATGGAGAGTCACCTGTAGGACATTCCAGGAGCAGTTGGATATATGTGTCTTCAGCCCAGAAATCTGAGCCCCAGAGATTTTATTTAAGCCATGAGATAAAAAGAAAAGAATCAGAATGGCATCCTGGGAAATATAAAGATGCAAAGGATAGAGATGGAAGTAGGGGAAACAGCTTATAAAGGAGATGGGGGTAGTGGAGAGAGATTTTTAAAAACAAGCCAATAAAAATTGTTAAATGCTGCCAAAGTATCACAGAAACTGAAGAAAAGAGACTCAAGAAAGAAATAATTTTCAACTAGAAAAACTTCAAATACAATGGAAATTAAATAAAGCAAGAATTGAAATAAATACATGTATATGTAATTGTATACACGGACATATAAATGTATAATGCATATGAATAATTACACACATGCATATGTAATTAACTACTGGCTTCTTAAGATGACTATACTTACCAAAACACTTTTACTTGTGTTTTTGCTACTTAATTTTGAATTGATCATCCACCAGTACTCTGTGGACAAGCGTTATACACAAAAGCCACACTGTGACTCAGTTCATCACTGTACGGACTCGCCCAATGTGGATTTGCTGAATGTTTAATAAGTATCTTGTGTTCTTTGAAATGCAGTATTATGGCCTGCAACAGGCATATTAGTTTAATTTCTTAATATTAGCAATACTTGCCAGCTCCCTTAATGTTAGAATAACACATATAAAATTAAATTCAGTAAGTTATCTTCAAAAAAAATAAGACAATTAAAAAGTAAAAGTTTTATATTTTACCAATTTAATTTAGTTTAGAAAAACTCTTGGTTTGGGGTAGTGGTGAGTCTGCCAAGAGTTGAAAGACACAAAATTACATGGAAATAACTCAGGTAGGAACCCCAAACATACTGAAGGTCAAAGGGAAAAAAATCCTTATTTTGTGTGTGTGTGTGTGTGAATTGCTGCATTTTGATTTTCATTTCTGCTTCCTGTATGGAAATAAATTACCTACTTTGACAGCCCATCAGAAACCAAAGCTCATATGGCGATTCATTTATTTCTTCCAATCCACCTTTTCAACTTAAATGTCACATCTTACTTTTTGAATCACTGGCTTTTCAGTAAGAATTTGTTTAATAAAACACCTTCACAGCCTAACAAGTTAAGCCATAGGTTTCTTATGTTTAGAATCCTGCACTTTACCTAAAAAAAACCAAGAATATGATATTTTAAATGTAGCTCTGCTGTGAGGCAGCTTTGTTAGTTCAGATTTTGGGAATTGATTTCCATTTTCAAAGAAATATTTTACACTATAAAACCACCAACTTGAATTTGGTTTGCAATTGACTGACTGAAAAATTACATGCTGTCAAATATCGCTTCCCCATCATGAAAAAGTTTTAAAGTGTCTTTTCAGAAGCTTATTTATTAAATGCAATAGTTGGCTCTTCAGCAACTTGGAGAAATATTTCAATTAATTTAAAAGCATCCTCACTGATTAAAAAACAATGCGTTTAAAAGTAGTGACATTATTAAAAGAATTATCACTGAATAAACATACAAAGATTTAAAAAAATAATACCATTATTATTATTATTATCTGAGTTCAGATAAGGCTGTTTTGTTAGTTTTTTATACTACTGTTTGCAAGCACAATGAAATTATTAAAAACAAAATCTTACTTAGTTTTTTAACATTTATATCAAGTGTAAAATAAATCAAAAATACAGACATACAAAGCACTCAAAATCGACTTATCCCTCTGCCCCACCAGATATGAAAGGGCTCACGAAAGCTACTCTCTGAACTTGGACGTGTTCTCTTGCTTGGCTAGACCGGCCCAAACACAGACACTTAGCCTCTGACCGGGAGCTTTAGCATGAAGACAAGAACCCACATGGGAGGAGTCACATGCCCCTGGCACTGAAAAGAAAAGCCCAGGATCTCTGAGTTTCAGTTTTTTAATTTGATTTTTAAATCGCCCTTAAGGATGCACCTAGCCAAAGAGAGCTCTTATTTTTAGTGACTAAAATGATTAAATGACATTATAACTTAGGTTAAATTCTTCTGGCCCCCTTTTCTATATACATAGAAATTCCTACATGATTCCCTCTAGGTAACCGCCTGGATTAGATGTCCAAATTCACATCTCTGCTCGGGCCACTCCCTTGAATTCCAAACCTGTACTTGAATCTGCCCAATGGACATCTCTAGTTGGGTCTCTAATAGGCTACCAAGCTTCACATGTCCATATGGACTTTTTGGCTTGGATCCCCCAAAAGTACTCTTTCTCCAGTCTAGCCCTCTCCTGGCACCACCATGAACAGAAGTGTTCAGAGCAACAGCTAGGGACTCATCCGTGAGATTCCTCCCCGACCCCCATCCTGTCTACCCAACATATCGGAAAAAACTTTCAGTTCAATTTACAAAGCATCAGTCATATCCATCCATTTCTCTCCTTCCTCCTGGCCAGCCCTCATGCCAGTCATGCTGTGAACTGTGGCAGGAGACTCTAACTGCCTTCCCTGGTCAACTGTTTTGTTTCCTCCAATCCATTCTTCTGATGGGATGCTTTAAAAACACAAATTAGATCACACCATTTTAAAGTGCTTTAGAACCTTGACTAGCCTCCACTCACACTTAGGATAAATCCGAGCTCATCACTACAGCTTATAAGACCCTGCCTAATCTTACCCCGTACTGTTTCTGCCCCCCCATCTTGGCCTGCCTTTCCCGTCAGTCCCTAGAACTTGCTACGACTTATCTGTCTCAGGGCACGCACATGTGTTCTTTCTTCTGCCTGCAACCTTTTCCCCTGACCTGACTTCATCCTTCTCAACCTTTGGTCTCTGTTCAAATATCACCGCCTCAGAGAGGCTTTCCAGGCTCACCCCACCTGAGGCAGCCCTTTTCCCAGTTCCTCTGCATCACATCTCTCTACAGTGACTTATTTGAAAGAACTTTGCATAATGCACAATCATCTTGATTATTTTCTTGTTTTCTTATTTACTCCCTGTCTTTTCAAAACAGAATCTAATCTTCAAGAGGCCAGGGGTCTTGTCCATCTCGCTCCCTGCTGTTCCTCCCGTACCTAGAACAAGTCTGACTCACTGAAAAAGTGTTTGCTGGAGAAAGAATACATTTGACTTCAACGACGTTCACTCTTATTCACATACTTAGTGCACAGTTACAGTCACAAAACATGACGAAGCTTCACTTTGAGGGCTCTTCCCTTACTGGTGATACATTTCCGTTTTAGCTCACTTGTCAACAAGAATCTCGCATGTAGCATTAAAAATATCAATACCTTGCATGCATCGTATGTATAAACTTCAAAGCAATTTCCCACGTATTAGAATAACAGTGAATATTTAACAAGTGCTCACTATGCACCAAGCACTGTCTAAATACTTTCCATATATTACCTCGTTTAATCTTCACAATGACTTTTAGTTCCCGTTATTTTTCCCCATTTACAGAGGAGGAGACTGAGGGTAAAGCCACCTGCCCAGTGTGGCACCAGGGGCAAGTGGGAAAGCCAGACACGTGCCACTTGATTCTCCTCGTTGAATCTGAGGTCCGTAGCATCTACAGATATCCCTCTGCACTACCAGGAAGAAGGATGCTCAGAGAATAGTGAGGTGCCTGGAGACCCAAGGGCAGTAGGTGTTAGAGTCTTTCTGAAAGACCCCACCCATTCTGCCAGCCACTCTCTGTCAGACTAACAAGGCTCGCTTCACTCCATCATAAATAGAGACGTGTAGGGGACTGCGTGTGCAACTTGCAGAGAAAACTTAATGCTGTTTTTCCCTTCCAAAAGCAAATGTGGCTTATATCATGGATCTGTTAAGGTGAAAGATGACAACTGATTTACTAGAAATTAGGTCAGAATGCATTAAAAAAGAATGAAAGGGAACATATTGATACAGTAACACTAATTTTTGATGGTAGGATTATGAATGATTTTTATTGTCTTCTTTATAGTTCAACCTTTAATAATGTCTATTCTCAAAAAATGTCCCGTTCCTTCTCATAAATTTACAATTAGTATAGAATTGTCCCCTAGAATACTAAGAGAGAACTGTCAAGAGAGCCTACTTGGTAGGAAGAACATCTTGTATTGATTTAATGAGCACAATGATGTTCCCAAAATATCAGTGAAGCATCTTTTTTTCCTGCCATTTACATGTATTATTTATTTAACATTTGTCTAATATTATTTCACTTGGGTCACTATCTAGCCTTGTCTTAAGCAGTAATAGCTGTGAAATCACAAGATGGACTTGTTCGTTATAAATACTCTCTAACATACATTAAAATTAACATACAAATATTAAAATAAATGTGTTGTTTTAAAAGCCATCTCAAGTTCCACCAGGAAGATACAAACAGTATCTTTGGAGACTCTGAACCACTGTGCTGATTTAATGGGATGCATTTTAGAGCTAGTCCCTTTGATGCTTCTTTCTTTAAGCTAAAAGGGGAATTTGAAGGCAGTATGTTGACAATTCCACTTCAGAACATTGTGCACTTTTGTCATGTGGGAAAATGTGTCAGTCATACCCCCTGGTCCACTAGAGGGTATGAACTCAGTGCCTGGGACTATCAGGAATAGAAAAGATTCTGACTGGGGTGCTTGATGTTGGCTGACTGGTACTGGACGTAAGTGGTAGAGAAACTTACATTTGTTACCGGGTCATTTTCATTCTCTGTAACGCATCCCTGAAGATTTAAGTTGAGAGCTTTACAAATGACCATGATTCTCTTGGCAGCTTTTTCTTCGAATGGTTTGATCACAAGCTCAGGTTCTAAATGGTCCTTTTTCTGAAATTTCAAGCTCTGAAACAAATTTGGAAAGTTTCACTCGACAAATACACATCACAAGAAAAGAGATTCTAAATTATAAACCACAGTCGTACAAATCAAGTTCACGCCTGCTTAGAGAGAATTCCAACTTACGTCTATATCTGGATCCAGGGAGAACAGATTCAGCCTCTCCAAGTTTCGAGTTGTTTTGACAGTCTCTTCCGTTTCTGTGAGGTACTACAGAGAAAACCGTGTTAGCGCTTCGCATCTAAACAGCCGGTTACCTACAGCCCAGCCCCACCCACATGGCCAAGGTGTAGCTCCTTGGGATTATTTCTGCTTTTAATATCATCCAGGAACACTCGGCCAACCTTATAAAAACATGCTCTTATTTTTTG